AGGTGGGAGAGGTCCTGCACCGCTGCTGCGCTTGCCACTGTGAACTCTGCTTCTGGCTGAGTGGCGCTCCAGCGCAATGACCACCAGGGGAAGCTCCTGTGTTGAGCGCCTGGTGGTCAGTGCATGTCATAGTGACCGGTCGTTCCACTGTTTGGTCGATTTGCATATTATCCTTTTATTATATAGGATCCTTATAGTTGATGTGGGTAAATACAGAAAGTTAACAAATTATAATAACTAACACCTTTATAGGTAGTATCAAAATTCTTACTGGGATTATATATAACAGGGAAAATACAAACAACAAATGGATTTTTCCCCTTGTATTTATTGATTTTTTAACTATACTGCTCTAGGCACTTTACATTTATCAGCCCATTTAATTTCCATAGCAGACTTTTAACATAGGCACTTTTATTATCTGTATTCATAAATAAGGAAATCAAAGCATAGGAGGTTTGCCCAGCTAATAAATGACAGAGCTGGAATTCAAACCAAGGCCTGGCCAGCATGGCTCAGTGGTTGAGCATCAACCTGTGGGCCGGGAGGTTAGGGTTCTATTCCTGGTCAGGCCATATGCCCGGGTTATGGGCTCATATGCAGGAGGTGGCTGATCAATGATTCTCTTTCATCATGTTTCTGTCTTTCTCTCCCTCTCCCTTCCTCTCTGAAATCAATAAAAATATATTTTAAAGAAACCAAGGTAGAGTGGATAGAGCGTCGGCCTGCGGACTGAAAGGTCCCAGGTTCGATTCCGGTCAAGGGCATGTACCTGGGTTGCGGGCACATCCCCAGTAGGAGATGTGCAGGAGGCGGCTGATCGATGTTTCTCTCTCATCGATGTTTCTAACTCTCTATATTTCTCCCTTCCTCTCTGTAAAAAATCAATAAAATATATTTAAAAAAAATAAAAATAAAAATATATTTTAAAGAAACCAAGGTAGATTGGTTTTAATTTAAGTATAGATGGTGTTTTTTATGAAAGACCTTGGCTCTTGATATTCAGAGTAGACAGAGTTGTGTTCTTCCAAAAGAACATAATGCTGTACATTTTCTCATGAATCAGGCTGACCTAGACTTTCCTGATATGTCTGCAGAAATTTCTTGTCTAACAAGGTAGAATTTACAAGATAAATTTAAAAGCTCTTTTAGAAGTTTAAAAACAATAAAATATGAGGTTTAATCTCTTGACATATTCGACCTTAGGCCAAATATTTAAGAACCAAAGAGAGATTATTTGAATGACTTCAACTAATGAAATACCTTACTGAGTCTTAGAGACCTGTGAGAGTAAGGAAACTTCCCCCCCCCCACCCCCCAAATTGTGTTGCTGTGGATCAGGGTTTTTCAACCTGGCACTAAAGACATTTTGGGTTAAATAATTCTTTGTTGTGAGGGTTGTCCTGTACATTGTAGGAAATTTAGCAGCATCCCTGGCTTCTACTAACTAGATATTAGTAGCACCCTCATCCCGTCGGTTGTGACAAATGAGAATGTCTCCAGACATTGTCAAATGTTCCTTGGGCTGGGGGACAAAATTGCCCCTAGGTTGCTAACCATTGGTGTAGATCAGGGTATATTCCTGGATGCCTTTTGGATGTGGGGTGGTTTACCTAGTGATTAGGAAATTGGTCTAAATAACTACAGTCATTTCCAATTGTGAGTTCCAATGATTTAGGAAAACTTCAGACCTCCTAGTGTTTTTCTAAACCCCTGTGAGACACCCATAAGTGATCTTGGACTGTTGTGCATTGATTTAAAAATAACAGTAAAATTTAAATACACATTTATTGCTATAACTTATTATTTTTCTTTAATAACTGGAATTTAGTATACTATGTTTTTCATTAAGGCCTGGGAGGACCGTTTGATTCGAATACAAGAAACGATTGATGAATGGTTAAAAGTACAAGCTCAATGGCTATACTTGGAGCCCATTTTTTGCTCTGAGGATATCATGCAACAGATGCCAGAAGAAGGACGTCAATTTCAGACAGTAGACAGACATTGGAGAGATGTTATGAAGTTTTGTGCAAAAGATCCAAAGGTGTAGTATTTGTTTTTTCTCTTGCAAATAAAGTGGAACCTTTATTTTGGGCTATTAAAAAAAGCGTTTGGCTTTTTCTGATTAAAAAAAATCAAAGATGCTCGTATAAAAACTGTAAAGTTCAGAAAAAATGTAAGAAAGCATTAAAGCAATTTTACTTTTCAATTCATAAGATATACTACTTGTAATTCTTTTACATCAGATTTATTGGGGTGACATTGTTTAATAAGATTATATAGGTTTCAAGTGTATATTTCTATGATACACGATCTGTATGTTGCACTGTGTGCGACCACCCAATGTCAAATCATCTTCCAGATGTCACCATATGTTTGACCCCCTTTACCCTTTACTACCCCCAAACCCTTTCCTTCTGGTAACCACAGTACTGTTGTGTGTGTCTATGAGTTTTTATTTTTCTTGTTTATTCATTGTTGCTTACAGTTTTATATCCCACATATGAGTGAAATCATAAGGTTCTTACCTTTTTCTGACTAACTTATTTCACTTTAGCATGATATTCTCAAGTTCCATCCATGTCTTTGCAAATGGCAGTATTCATCTTTTCTTATGGCTAAGTAGTATTCCATTGTATATATGTACCATATCCTCTATCGAAGGATACTTTGGTTGTTTCCATGTCTTGGCCACCGTGAATAATGCTGCAATGATTATAGGGGTGCATATACCTTTGCAAAGAAATGTTTTCAACATTTTCGTGTAGATACCCAGAAGTGCAGTTTACATTCTCACCAGCAATGGGAATCTTTCTTCACAACCTCTCCAACACTTTTTATTACTTGTCTTGTTGATAGTAGCCATTCTAACAGGTGTGAGATTGTAGGACATTGTAGCTTTCATTGCCATTTCTCTAATTGATAATGAGGTTGAGCATCTTTTCATATATCTGTTGGCCATTTGTATGTCTTCTTGGGAGAAGTGTTCGGTCCTCTGCCCATTTTAAAATTGGATTATTTGTTTGGCATTGAGTTGTATGTGTTCTTTATATATTTTGGATATTAACTACTTACTGGATGGTAGAGCTGCTTCACATGTACATGTAACTCACTTCACATGTACATTTAACTCACTGCTCCCATCCTCTTATAAAATAAATAGTAAAATAAAATGGAGAAGGGGAAAGAGAGAGAGAGAGAGAGAGAGAGAGAGAGAGAGAGAGAGAGAGAGAGAATAGTGCAGGTGATTCCACTCAATGTCTATATGCTTGGGAGTGAAGGGAAAAAATAATCTGAGGTTTTCTTAGTTGGTTGCATTTGTTCTCTCTCCCCTAGTGTGAGTATAGTACCTTGCTTAGTGTGAGTCTAATGTTGAAAGACATACTATGCATTTTTCATATACATATTATGCAAAGTTCATAGATAAAAGTCCACTTTTAAAAATCTAGTATTCAACTTAAGAATTTGTTTCAATACTGGGTGAAAAAGTAGCTGTGCTGGACTTACTGAGAGTAAACAGTATACTGATGTTTATGAGTCACAAGGATTTTGCCTTATATGTTGACTTTAGATCCTTTGTGAGACATGATTTACAGATCAGAAGTCAGATTTTTTTTTCTGCAAAAGGCCAGATGGTAAATATTTTGGGCTTTGTGAAACATAGTTTTTCTTTTCTCTTTTTTCCCCCAACTAGTCAACTCTGCTGTCATTGTAGTGAGAAAGCAGCTGGACAATTCGTAACTGAATGGATGTGCCTATGCTAAGTAAATTGTTTATAGACCCTGAGATTGTTGTGTGCCATGAAATATTATTTTAATTTTTTTAACCCCTTAAAGCTGTAAAAACATCCCAGCTCGGTGTTGCTCAGTGGTTAGAGTGTTGGCCCATGCATTGAAGGATCGCAGGTTTGATTCCTGGTCAAGGACATGAATCTGGATTGCAGGTTGGATTCCGGCCAGTCCAGATTAATGCAGGAGGCAACCAATCGATGTGTCTTTCTCACATTGATGTTTCCCTCTCTCTCTTTCTGTGTCTCTTTCCCCTTCCGTTCCTTCCACTCTCTCTCTCTAAAAAAAAAGAAAATTTAATGGAAAAAATATCCTCAGGTGAGGATTAACAAAACAAAGAAACAAAAAGGTGTAAAAAATAATCCTTCACTTGTGGGCCATAAAAAAAACTGGCAGCACAATGTATACATACATAAAAAAATCAAGTTGTGCTCCTTAAATATGTACAATTTTTATTCATTAATTATACTTTATAAAACTGAAAAAAGAAAAAGTGGTAGCAGGCTGGATTTAGCCCATGGGATGCAGTTTGCCAACTCATACATCTAAATTGTTAAGTTTGTAGTTGACAATTATAAATGTAACTTTTGTTAATCCTCACCTAAGGATATTTTTTCCATTACATATTCTTTTTTTTTTAGAGAGAGAGAGAGTGCATGACAGTCATAACTTCTCATTTGTAACTAGCATTTTGGATTAGAATAGTTGTAGTTTATTGAATTTTAATTATTTCCCATTACAAAAAATCTTATGACAATTTTCATATACCTTTTGACATATAACATAGATTAATGTTTACATCTTATAATTATATCTAGTATATAAGTGTTGAACTGAATGATTATGTCTCTTTTAGGTTCTTGCTGCTACTTCTTTAACAGGTTTATTGGAAAAACTACAGAGCTGCAATGAACTTTTGGAGAAAATTATGAAAGGGCTTAATGCATATCTTGAAAAAAAACGACTTTTCTTCCCTCGGTATGATGGATAATCAGTTGTGCTATACTTGAAAGCACTTTCTGATTTGTGATGAATTATAACTAAAGCTTTTGTATTTGCATGTTTTTCTCTAGTTTCTTCTTCTTATCTAACGATGAAATGTTAGAGATTTTGTCAGAGACCAAAGATCCACTTAGAGTTCAGCCTCATTTAAAAAAATGCTTTGAGGGCATTGCTAAATTGGAGTTCCTTCCCAATTTGGACATTAAGGCCATGTATAGTTCTGAAGGTGAGCGCGTGGAGCTGATTGCACTTATTTCCACGTCTGCAGCACGAGGAGCTGTGGAAAAGTGGCTGATTCAAGTGGAAGATTTAATGCTCCGGAGTATTCATGATGTGATTGCTGCAGCCAGGCTGGTGCGTTACCTAGGATTTAATGTATACCTTATATTCTGTAAATGCTTTCTTTTAGGAGGTTTTGAATGGGTTACCAGTAAATTAACATTTAAAGTTCTTACTATTTACAAACATTTATTATTTTATTTACTCTTTTTTGTTTCTAACAATAATTAATATTAGTAAGAATTAATGATAATATGTGATTCTGTGCTACAAAAGAGTAATAATAAAATGTATATAATTTAGAATGGGGGTGGTGGTTCTAGTGATAGGCAATTAGAGGAAGTAAAATTAAAACAGAACCAAACCATAAATAGGAATTAACCAGGTAAAGAATAAATAGAATACCATCTTGGTATCCAGTGTAAAGGCCCTGGGATCAGATAAAACCTCAAAATCAGGTGTTAAATGCATGATCTAGTTCACTTACTGTTGTTTACACTTAATTACTTAAAAACTTCAAACTTGAAATGAGTTGAACAAACATTAAAGGAGGATGTATATTTGAAAGAAATATAACACCTAAGCAGTACATGTACCTCACTTATGCTACTCCGGTTAACCTAATTTTGAATGATAAACTTCAGTATATATCTGCTTTGGGGGACCACAAAGGAACAGTTGTGTATTAAAAAAAATCATTTAAAAAGGCATTGTAGCCTTATATCCAGCAACCCACTTTATGTGAATGACGTATCCTTTTTCCTTCACCAAGAGCTCAGGAAGCTCATAATCTTGCAGTGGATATTGTGTTCAGCTTCAGTGTTCCTGTAGATAAATATTGACTTTTACTCCCTTTTTTTCTATTTATGACTCATAGGAAAGAATCGATATTTCCCATCAAGTATTTCCTTAATAAATATAGAAGTGTATTTTCCATGTACCTAGCAATAGTTCATCCATTCTTTGAAACTCATCCTTCTTTGAACTTAGGTTAGCTTGTCATTTGCATTTATTCCTATGCATTTATTCCTAAATATTGCTAATCAAAGGTATAATATATATATTATATATATTATATATATTATATATATTATATATATTATATATATTATATATATTTATTATATATATTATATATATTATATATATAAATATAATATATATAGCCTTAGGTTTATATCTAGAGCATGTTTGAAAATGGTGTTATATTAAAGATGATGTTGTATTAAATATATAGTTTCTTTCAATTACTTAATTGAAAAAAGTAAATTATCATTTACTTTTGAATTAAGTTATTTTTTAAACCACTAAATCTCTTTAAATACATAAAAATGTTAGAAAGACATGAAAGTATACTTTGAAGTCAAAAGCCCAGATTGTTCAATATAATTGAACAAAATACAGGGTGAAACAAAAGTAGGTTTTCAATTGTAAGCATGTGAAACACAGAGATTATTTTTTTATTATTTAGTAATTATATTATTTTCCATAGGAACAACTGTAAACTTACTTTTGCCCCACCCTACATATGATTATTCAAATGATATACTCTGGTCATACAAATTTTTAGAATTGTTATGGATTAATAATACAAGGGCTCTAACTACTAGGCCAATTTTCCACTAAATTGTATAAGTTAATTTATTAGACTGATTTATTTATTTATTTTTAAAATGTTTTTATTCATCTTAGAGAGAGAGGGAGAGAGAGAGAGATACAGAAACATTGATGAGAGAGAAACATTGATCATCTGCCTTCTGCATGCTCCCTACTGAGATTGAGTCCACAACCTGGGCTTGTGGCCTGACTGGAAATTGAACCAATGACCTCTTGGTCCATGCGACAATGCTCAACCAACTGAGCCATACTGGCTGGGCTGATTTATTTTTTTACAGTTTAATTTCTGTAATGGAAGTAATATGTATTCTAATAGAAGTAATAAGTATTCTATTTGTAAAACTTGACAACTCTCCACAGCAAAAGAACATAAAAATTATATAAATATTTTAAAAATATAATCATAATTTATAAAAAATGTTCAGGTATTTTAAATAGTCACCTAACATTTTTCATGACTATGTGATATTCTAGCCTACAATGTACCAAATATTTTGCTTCTCTGTTGTTAGACATTTAGCTTTTTGCTTTTTCCCTTTAGAAATCTTTTAAAGTTAAAAATGCTTTTTTATTATTCAGGCTTATCCAGACTCTACAAGAAGAGACTGGGTTCGAGAGTGGCCTGGACAAGTTGTACTTTGTGTTTCTCAAATGTTCTGGACTTCTGAGACACAGGAAGTTATAAGTGATGGGACAAAGGTAACGCATTATTTGATTTTAAGTAACATTCTTTTCTATATGCTATGTTTCTTAGTTAGCTTATCTGTTATTTTTAAAGCCAATTTTCTCCTGAATTTCTACATGTAACATTAAAATTATATAATTATTTGAGAACTTGTTATATTTTATACTAGGCTTAGACAAAAATCACTCTATTCTATAATCCATTTCTCTATTGAGGTATATTATGAAGTCAGAATTGTTTTGTATAAGAGTAAATATAGAAAGCACATATTTTAGGTGCTATATGAGAGTAGTTTAATTGCTTTTTTATTTTGTAGGGATTAATTAAGTACTATAAGGAACTTCAGAATCAACTAAATGATATTGTAGGGCTGGTAAGAGGAAAACTATCGAAGCAGACCAGGACTACTCTGGGCGCTTTGGTTACTATTGATGTTCATGCTAGAGACGTGGTCATGGACATGATTGATGTGGGTATGTGACTTTTTTCTTTAATGTTAAAGATAAAATATTAATAACTTCTAGCAACAAAGATTTATACTATATGTATACTATAGAATTTATTTTATATGATCTTTTCTATGTATTAGAAAATATGAATTGTTTTAATATTTGCTATTATAAAAGATGATAAAATACCTATTTTTCAAATTATTTCTATTTTAGGATCATGTATCTTGTTTTACTTTATTCTTTTTAGGTGTCTCACATAATACAGATTTCCAGTGGCTTGCTCAGCTTCGATATTACTGGGAATATGAGAATGCTCGAGTTCGCATCATTAATTGCAATGTCAAATATGCTTATGAATATCTTGGCAACTCACCTCGACTTGTCATTACTCCTCTAACTGACAGATGTTACAGAACATTGGTATGCATTTAAATTATTTTAATTCACACATTAAAGTTTACTTTTTAGTGTGGTCATATTTTTTTTGTCCAAATTTAACATGGCTATCCTCATTTTATTCTCTTATTGGTGATAGTTGAATACAGCTATTCCTTCCTAATTCTAAATTTCTTTTATGTGAAATTATCATAATGAATATTTAATTCTTGGTGCTTTTGTAGAATACAAGTATGTTTAAATTCTAATATTTGAAAATCGTGAGCACTCCCATTGGGAATAATTATAAAAAGGAAAATACTGAAGATTTTAAAGAGAAAAATCAAAGCTTTGGAAAATATTATCAGTTTTTGCAGTGGAGTTCTGGGAGAGATGACAGGAAGATGAGGAAAGTACAGTTGGGCCTTAGAACTCCAAGTTAGTTCTGTTGAATAGGAGGGAGAGACCTGAAACGTAGGGAGTTGGTCCTGAGGTCTATGTTTGGTGGGAAGGTATGGAAGATAGAGCTATGACTATTAAAATAGAAACATTAGGATTAGGGTTGCCAGATAAAATACAGGACTCCCAGGTAAATTTGAATTTCAAATAAACAACAAATACATTTTTAAGATAAGTCCTAAATATTGTATGGGACGTATTTATTCATTGTTTATCAGAAATTAAAATTTAACTTGGCATCCTATATTTAAATTTGCTAAATCTCACAACCGTATTTGGAAATTGAGGAGGAACATCAAGAAACACCAAGTAAAGTAAGTAAAATTAAAGTGTCTTTGATTGAGTTCTCTAGAAACAGAGATGAAATGACAATTGTTGGGCAAATGATTTACTAGAGAATGCTCTTAGTACAAATCTGTAAGGAAGTGAGGAAAACAGGGGAAAGCTAAGGAGAGATGTGATTTCATTGGATATATATCCTTAGCCTGATCTCACAGGGAGTTTTGGAGCATGAATTACATCACAAAGGTACTTCACTTGAAGGCAAAGGGGCTGGCTTTTATATTCCTTTATAGTCATTGGCTGTGGGTCACCCATAGGTTTAGGGGTATAAGTGAGCTATCAGGTATTTGCCAGTGAGGTAGCTTCTATTAGTTGAGAACAATTTCCAGGAGAAAAGAACAGGTGGGAGCTATTTGTAGCTGACACTTCAGCAAGTGGGAGATGGATGCAATGGTCAGTAAAGGGAATCCGGGTAGGATGTTAGTGCATCTACAATAAAATGTTTCACCAAACCCTCTAATTTCTCAGGAAGCTATCTGAGGGCAGATACCATGTCTGTCTTGGTTTCTACTCTAGTGTGAACAAGTACATAATTACTCTTTAAATATTTGTTGAGTAAATGAATCTCAAGCTTCCATGTCCTATCTGGACCCTCAGAGACATCAAACGCTGTGAATACTTGTAAGGTGGAAGCTGTAAAATCAAAAGCACATTAAGCACTTGTATACAACACTAGAATGAAAAACAAAATAAGTCTCCTAGGATATGTATTATCTATATACTAGTGACCTGGTGCACAGATTTGTGCGCATCGAAAGGCAATTAACTAGAAGGTGGCCAGTGGGGCAGGACTGGGCAAGATGGGTCAGACACGCTCTGTTGCCAACCTCCCACAGTCTCTCCCCTGCTGGCCATACCTGGGGAGCGCTGTGGCTCAATGGGTGTCCGTGGAGTCAGTATGGGGTCCCTCTGGCAGGTGGGGTTTCTTGGCCTGGACTACGGGGATCTGGCCGAAACTGGCTCTCTGACATCCCCCAAGGGGTCCCAGAGTGTGAGAGGGCACTCTGCAAAGTTGCTGTCGTACAGGGTGTGGAATGCAAATACAAGTGTGCAATAAACCAGATTCGGGGCGACAGTGCCTCCCCAATTACATAACCCATGGCCAAAGGTGGAATCGCACGGCCCCACGAGGAATCATGCTCCCTCTTCTCTGATTTCGGGGTATGTCACCTGAGAACCGCTGCTGCCAAGTCACTGTAGCTCAGCAGATCCTTCGTTGAGCGTCTGCCCCGTGGTGGTTAGTGTGCATCATTGCAACCGGTCGGGCGGGCAGAGGGACACTTAGCATATTAGCCTTTTATATATCTACTAGAGACCCGGTGCATGAATTTGTGCATGGGTGGGGTCCAGCTGGCCCACCCCAATGGGGGCCCATTGGGTCAGGCTGGCAGTGGGGACGGGCTGCGGGAGGTTGGCCGGCCGAAGTGAGGGGCCGTGGGTGGTGGGCCAGCCAGCCCTGCCCCCAATTGGGGTGTTGGCGGTTGATCGGGGGGCCAGGCAAGCTGGTAGCGGGGGGGCAATCAGGGCCCGGATCAGGCTGGTTGGGTGCCGCAGTGCACATCATAGCCACCGGTCGTTCCAGTTGTCTGGTTGTTCCACCAGTCCAGGTGCTAGGCTTTTATATATATATCTATATAGATATATATAGATATCTATCTATATATATCTATATAGATATATATATATATTTATATATATAGATATATATATATAAAAGCCTAAGCGATCGTTTGACCCGTAGCTATGATGCGCACTGACCACCAAGGGGCAGATGCTCAACACACAGGCATGGAAACATGGAACAGACTGATGAATCTCAGAGGGAAGGAGAGAGGGGTGGAAGAGATTAACCAAAGATCTTATATGCATACTAGAGGCTCGGTGCATGGATTCTTGCACCGGTGGGGTCCCTTGGCCTGGCCTACGGAGATTGGGCTGAAACCATCTCTCCAACATCCCCTGAGGGGTCCTGGATTGTGAGAGGGCACAGGCCAGGCTGAGGGACCCCACCGGTGCATGAATCTGTGCACCAGGCCTCTAGTATAGATATAAAAGGCTAAGTGTCCGTCTGACTGGTAGCTGTGATGCGCACTGATTACCAGGGGCAGACACTCAACTCAGAAGCTGCCATGACAGTCACTGGCTATTTAAAATAAACAGCACCATGGACTTGGTGCTGACAAATCAACACTTGGCTTCCCCCAAGTGGATACAGGCCCTGCCACCACCCCAGAGCTACACTCCACCAAATCGCAGCCAATGCGGCCAAGACCCCCTGGCCCAAAATGCGGCCCATAGCCCAGCCCAGCCTGGAAACAGTCACTGTGGATGCCAGGTAATGACATTATGTAGCAATGCCCAGCTTCCTCTCCCTAGCAACTAGCCTCCTTGGAGTTTCTTCAGCCCAGGAACACGACTTGCTTTATAGCCAGGTGCAAACATTTCACAGTTCAACCAAATATTTGTGAAATGTTTTCCTGTGCTTCATCTCATTTGATCCTCACAGAAGTCCTGGAGTAGGTACACAGGAGACACAGTAGAATCCTGTTTTCTTTTCATTAGCTGGAAAACAGAGATTTAGAAAGTTTAGAAACTTGACCTGACTGAAAAAAGTAAGGAATGGTGGACCTTGAAAATGACTTCAGGTTTTCTCACTGCACAGAATATAGTCAAACACTGCTGCAGTTAACTATTCTACCCTTTGTTATCCCTGCATGATCTACAATAATAATCTGCTTTGTATTGATATTTACTGCTGTGTTGCTGACAATTAGCTGAACGAGAAGTTGGGGTGCTTCACTGGGCTAGAAAAAGTTTAGCTAAATCAGAAAGCAGGTATAATTAAGCAAGTTTATTCTATATATGTAAAAGGCTAAGTTGACTTGCACATGCACAATACATATAAAGCTCTCACTGGAGCCAATCACATGCGTGTGTTTCGATCTGTCATTGTCGATCGTGAATTTGGTTGACACTTCTATTATAGATAAAGGGCGAATAGCGATATTAAAATATTTCTTCTAATTTCCATTCAATGTGCACAAATCCATAATAAAAGGAGCATACTTGTAAGAATTTTCTTGAAATTGTAAAGAGAAAGGTTTCTAGCAAATGAATGGACATTAACAGTGTAGCATTTATCATAAATTTAAGATAGATAAAATATCATTGATATTGCCTTTATTTAGATGTCTATTATTTTATTTTAGTAAGTGTAAAAGTATTATTTTATAGGTTTATTTATTACTTATTTTTAAAATAGTCTTTTAAAAGAGCAGTTTTAGGTTCTCAACAAAATTAAGTAGAAAGTACAGGAGTTCCCATAAACCTCCTGCCTCCCTATATGTACAACCATGTGTCCCTTAACCTTATTTCTCCTAAAAGGAGTCAAGTTTTACAAACTCTCATATTGGTTTTTATGAAGCAAACTTCATAGTTAGAGAGTTGACTGTAATCTATATGCTTCTAAAAATGTTCAGCCACTGTTCCAGTCATTGTGGAAACCCAGAAAGCATTCAGATACTGCTGATGATGTTGTGCTTATTGAACTTAAAGACTAAGTGAGAGGGAAAAATCAACATAATTACCTGTAAGGCAAGGTAGAAAGCAATATTAGTGGTAGGAGAAGTATAGAATAGTGTTATGGGAATAGAGAACATACCAAGAGTATCAGGATCAATAGCCAGGGTGAATCATAGATAAAATTATATAATAGGTCATATGTTTCTCTTCCAACTGATGGGTCCCCATTCATAACACCCACTTTCAAATATGTACTCTCTTTGAGGCTAGCCAAGAGATTTTCATTATGGAACTCTATAATTATCTCCACAGCCACTTCTAATTAAACCTTTCTGACCAAATTGTAACACCTCAAGGCTAGATTTTCTTTGTTTTTAAAGGCAAATGGAATACTGTACATGCAAAGTATTAAAGGATAAGGAGATTTTGATACATTTTCACTTTTTTGAACTCTATAAACTGCTTATTTTTTGTACAGCTAGAAAATTGTGTGCTAAAAATTAACTGAAAAATGTAATTGTATTACTGCCTCTCTGAAGTTACAACTAAAACTAAATCCATTTTGGAAGTGATTATCTGTGTTGTTGTTTTCAGTTAAGCATGGACTATTTCTTTTCACAAAAATGTTTCTTTTCAGATAGGTGCCTTCTATTTAAATCTTGGAGGTGCTCCAGAAGGACCAGCAGGCACAGGAAAAACTGAAACCACCAAGGACTTGGCTAAAGCTCTTGCTGTACAGTGTGTGGTGTTCAACTGTTCAGATGGGTTAGATTATCTAGCAATGGGAAAGGTAAAGTTACATTTTAAATGTTACCAACTTATAGCTAGGTCTAACTGGATAAACTGAAGCAAACTCAGTTAAACATTATTTGAATGTAGTTTAAGCATTACTTGGGTTTACAGATAAAGACATTGTTTATATCTTTGGGCTTTTATTAACCTTAATTTTCAGTTTTGACTTAAAAGGTTAAATGTTTGTTTTAATAAGTTATGCCTTTTCCTAAGAAAAATTATCTCCTTTTTTCCTGGTCCTTAGTTTTTTAAAGGATTGGCTTCTTCTGGTGCTTGGGCTTGCTTTGATGAATTTAATCGAATTGAGTTGGAAGTGTTGTCAGTGGTAGCTCAACAGATCCTTTGCATTCAGAGAGCCATTCAACAGAAGCTGGATGTGTTTGTTTTTGAAGGGGCAGAACTTAAACTCAATCCCAACTGTTTTGTAGCTATTACCATGAATCCTGGCTATGCGGGACGTTCTGAATTGCCAGACAATCTTAAGGTAATATTTTTTAAGAATGTAAATTTGTTAATCAAAAGTAGCAGCATAGCCCACTCAAAAGGTATATTTTCTCACATGTTTTTGTAATTTCTCTTTTCTATTTTCTGCATGGTAAACCTCCAAAAACTCTTTTAGGTGTCTAAAAAAAATGAAAGGGCACAAAACTATTAAAATACTAGTGAAAAATTAAAGAGTTAATGAAAAGGTGTTGCATTGGGTGAATAAACTTGAATATCAACACATTATTTTTGGGTGCTTATGCTTAGTATTAAAATGGTTTTCTTTATGTAAATAATATATTTCATTTATTATATACTTCAGGTTCTTTTTAGAACAGTGGCTATGATGGTTCCAAACTATGCCCTCATAGCAGAAATCTCCCTCTACTCCTATGGATTTTTGAATGCAAAACCTTTGTCTGTGAAGATAGTAATGACCTATAGGCTTTGCTCAGAACAGCTCTCATCGCAATTTCATTATGACTATGGAATGCGAGCAGTGAAAGCAGTTTTAGTGGCTGCTGGAAACCTAAAACTAAAATTTCCAAATGAAAATGAAGATATACTTGTAAGTATATGTACATGAGTGAATACATACATTGTGAAAGAAAGTCTGAGTAAAAGATAATTTTTTAGTGCGGCTGATCAGGAACTATAGGCAAAAAAGAGAGTTCTTGCTTTGAGCCTTTTTATAAGAGGTTGAAATGATAGTTTAGGGGTTATGCTATTCATTATACTTTATGTAAATGCAAGGACCTTTTGGCTCGATAAGCATAATGTTGGCTTTTCGTATGGGGATTCATGGAACAATGTAAAATAAACTTTGACTTTGGGTATGGGAAGGAAAGGGCAAATACCGGCAATTAACTTAATATTGCACTTTTTGGATGCTTTTAGCTTCTTCGATCAATTAAAGATGTAAATGAACCAAAGTTTTTATCACATGATATACCCTTATTTAATGGAATAACTAGTGACTTATTTCCTGGCATTAAACTTCCTGAAGCTGACTATCATGTAAGTAAACCTCTGAGAATAACTTACTCCGCAAACAAATTTATCTCATGACTTAATAGTTTACAAGGTGTTTTTAAAAAATATATATTTTATTGATTTTTTACAGAGAGGAAGAAAGAGGGAGAGAGATAGAAACATCGATGAGAGAAGCATCGATTCAGCTGCCTCTTGCATGCCCCCTACTGGGGATGTGCCCGCAACCCGGTACATGCCCTTGACTGGAATCGAACCTGGGACCCTTCAGTCCCCAGGCTGACGCTCTATCTGCTGAGCCAAACTGGTTAGGGCTACAAGGTTTTATTAAATGGGTGAAATCATTCTGTTCGGAGGATAATCCCCTATTTTGGTCACCTTAATATGAAAATGAGTAAATTTTACTAGTACATTGTGTTGTATGATACTAGGGTTGACAAAGTTCAGGTCAAAGATGATTGTTGTAAGAGAATAAGTATTTTCTATCGTGTGATTTCTAATACTACTATCCTATCTAATAAAAGACAAAAGGGTAATTAACCGTACCTCCGCTACACTTCCCATCGGCTAATCAGGGGGATATGCAAATTAACTGCCAACAAAGATGGCGGCTGGCAGCCATGCAGCTGAAGCGAACATGAGGCTTGCTTGCTTCAGTGATGGGGGAAGCCAAGGTTCCCCACCTGCCACGGCTGGCTCTGAGCGTGAAAGCAACAATGTTTCAATTATAGAAGCTAAACAAACCCCAGATACCTGCTTTCAGCCGGCCGCGGCCTCAGAGCTGGGAGTGCCAGTGATGGCAACAATGTTTCAATTATAGAAGGTAAATAAATCCCAGAATAAAAAAAAGAAAAAAAGGAGAGGCTGGGAGCTTCAGTCACCCGCCCACCTGAAAATGGCCCTCAGCCCCTCACCCAGGCTGGCCAGGCACCCAAGTGGGACCCCCACCCTGAAACAGGACACCCTTCAAGGCAAACCAGCTGGCCCCCACCCATGCACCAGGCCTCTATCCTATATAGTAAAGGGGTAATATGCAAACTTACCCTAACAGCAGAAAGACTGGGAATGACTGATCACTATGACACACACTGACCACCAGGGGGCAGACACTCAATGCAGGAGGTGCCTTCTGGTGGTCAGTGTGCTCTCACATGGGGGAGCTCTGCTCAGCCACAAGCCAGGCTGATGGATGCCAGTATAGCGGTGGTGGTGGGAGCCTCTCCTGCCTTCTCAGCAGCGCTAAGGATGTCCAACTGCAGCTTAGGTCTGCTCCCTTCTGGCATGTGGGCATCCCCTGAGGGCTGCCGGGCTGCCAGAGGGATGTCTGATTGCCATCTTAGGCCCAATCCCCTGGGGAGCAGGCCTAAGCCAGCAAGTGGTCATCCCCCGAGGGGTCCCAGACTGCGATAGGGCACAGGCCGGGCTGAGGGACAACCCCCCCCCCCCCGAGTGCACAAATTTTTGTGCACCGGGCCTCTAGTGTATACTATAATACTGTTGTATATTTCAGCTGGTAACAAAAGATTCTAAGCTGAAAGTGGTAAAACATCTTATAGTTAACAATGATTTGTTTCTCAAATTTAAATAATATGGTTGCTCTTTTTTTTTTTTAAAGAAACAAAGTATGTGTATTTCCAATTCTATTTAAATTATAGACAGAGGGGGAAACCAAGATGGCGGCATAGGTAGACACCGGAAATTGCTGCCTCGCACAACCACTTCAAAAATACAACTAAAAGACAAAATGAACATTATCCAGAACCACAGGAAGGCTGGCTGAGTGGAAATTCTACAACTAGAAGGAAAGAGAAAAGCACAGTGAGACTCAGAGGTGGTGTAGAAGTAAAGTGCAGAGGTACGGAGGCATGTGGAAAGGGCTGGCAGCTGAGGACACGGTTGTCTTTTTCAGTCGGGAGGGAGTCGCAAGCTCCCGACTGCTCTGAACTCCAGTTCCGGGTGAGTCTCTGGGGACCCAGACTCATACGGGAGAAACTGGACTGTCTGGCATCGGTCGGAACTCGAGGGCAGCTTTCTCTCAGAGGCGCTTGCAGCAATTACTGGGACGCTGAGAAACAGGGCCTCTTAGGGCAGGACTGAGGAGCAGCCATAGCTGCTTGCTCTGCCCTGTTGATCCCCTGAGACCCCGCCCCGCCCAAGCTGTGCGCAGAGGCTTTTGCATATGAAAGGCCTGGCCCTTTGCAATCTGAAAATTACCTAACAAACTGCAGCTCGGTCAGAGAAAGCCAGAACATCTAAAAGAAGGCCCAAGGCCCCACAGCAGCTTGCATTGCTTCACAGCTGGCTCCT